AATTATATTCTGTTTCTATTCCTATATTAACGTCTAGGGAACCAGTTTAAAGTATTAAAAACATGTTTTACTCAATATTCGCCATTATCGATGACCTATAAATAAACACTCTAAAGATGACCTGCTGAAGCGTCAATGAGCAGCCGAAAATCGATGGGGAATGTGAGCGCTAAAGTAATTACAAACTTTTTGGAAACAGTCGAAATTGGAAACACCGTGTAATATCGTATTCACCGAATTTGATGCTATACGTAGCGCAAAAAGTTCACTATTCGGATTTCGCAAAATCCCATTAATTTTTCAGGGCAAAAATCGTCCGTGTGTGGTTCGCATCCGTCCAAAACTGAACCGTTTTCCAAATAAATTAAAGTCGCAACAACTCATGGAACTTGGTGACAGTTCAATAAAAATTCAAGCGGGCAGCCGAGAAGTCTGAAAAATAAAAATATCTCAAAATAAATCAATTTGTTTACGTCGAAGCCGAGCCATGACAGATCGGAAAAATGACTATCGGCAAACCCGTCCCATTTTCCGTAGGACACATTTTCGGACCGGGCTGCATTTCCTGCTGGAGTTTCGCGTAATCTAGAGTGAACCTTCTTCGTTTTAGAAACATGTATTAAAAACGATATTATCATCTTCGAGTAATTCATATCGCGAACTTTCGTTTAATTCAAAATAACCAATGCTTCTTTTCGTTTTTCCTTGATGTAAAAATGTTCTTGTTACTTTCGAAAATCTATGAAATCGACTTTTTCGAAAGTATCTGCGCTCGTATAAAAAATTTGTCTCAGCGTTGAAAAAAATATATTTTTTGTCTGTCCGTTCTCCGTTCTCTGTTACAATACATTTTCGACAATAATTTTAAAAGTCTATGCACAAGATATGCGAAAATGGCCGAGATCAATTACCGGCGGCCATCTTTTTTTCAATTTTCGACAGTTTTTTGAACATCGCTATGAAACACGAAAAGTGTCCGAAATTGGAAGCTATCGTCTTCATTTTTTTCAGGCGGATAGCGATGTATTCTCTAAAGGTATCTCTTGAAATTGGGGGGGGGAGGCTGGGGGTCGGGAAGTAGTTTTAAAAAAATTAAAAAAATTAAAAAATGTACAGGGTGCGCCGCAAATTTAAAAAAAAAACTGGAAAATCAGTTCTCCCCATTATTGAAAATTCGCTATAACTAAAAGACCGTGTTTTGCATATCAGTTTCCTTTACATGACGATATAGCCCGCATTGAGGGCTAAAACTTTTGTATTTAAGGTTTTCTCCTATTGTAAAGGGTGTTCAAGATATTAAGCGCTATATTCAAAAATTCCCAGGTGTCTTAAATTTGCAGCTATCGACTTCAGATTTGGCAGAAAGGTAGAAGCCCACACCCGTATTTCATCAGTTAAAAAAGGACCTACTCAAATCTCGTAAAGCATTTTTTTTAAATGTTTGAAACATTTGGTTGGTATATTTAACCCGATCGCAAAATTTGTGAACCAGAAAATACATTTTTTCCATTATTTGCAGGGTTTTTCAAATATAGACAAAAATCTTTATTTTCGCCGTAAATCAAAGTCCGTGAAAAATATGTCTATATCGAGGGCTATAACCTTTGTGTTTACGGTTTTCGTCTATCACGTACGCAGCTAGAGATATTGAAAAAACTATAAAAAAAGGAAACGTGGGAGATTCGGTGCTATAAGGTCTGTTTCGAACATTGTTTGAATTATATACAGAGTGTGTCGTTTATAGGTAAAAAATCTAAAAGATAATAGAAATTTCCGTTTTTGTGGGTAAATTGTGTTGAGAGAGAGTTTCAGTTTTCGTCTATCAAATAGGGTGAGCGAGATATTTGAAAAAAATATGATTTTAAATGGCAATTACCAGTAAAAATATTCACCAAAATTTGCCGTAACTTTGAAGTTCGATGAGATGTGAAAGACGCTTTATACAGGATACAGCATACTAAAATTACATCGATTTCGTGAATGTTCGATAGTGGTCCGGAGGAGCACGATAGAACAACCAATGCGTTTCCTCTGGGACAAGAAACCGGCTTCTTTCTGCACTTGCACCGCCCATGATTATTCGAAAGCAATCTTGTTAACATTTAACATACTATTTACAAATCTGCTGGATTCTTCCTGTGTCGGTTGTTGGTGGTTTCAGTTAAGCTGTGAAGAAGTCAACGAAACGTCAGCAAGTTCGATTCACCGACAACCGAAGCAGGAAGAATCCAAAAGATTTGTAAATAATTCTTGTTAACATATTTGGACTTTTCCACTTTGTATAGCGGACAAAATTTTTGGAATTTATTTTTATCCACTAATTTCCTAACACTGGAAATCAAGAACAAGGTTCTACCGTTACATTTAGATGCTCTGTCAGAAAACTGTAATATGCTTTGTTTTATGGGAAAGATTAATATTTCGTTTTCCGTATTTAGTTTTTCCGTAAGCAAAATTTTCACCTTTAATATCCCTGGTGCTTTAATTATTTCCGAAATTTTTTTGGAGTACACCAATTTTTGAAAATTATTCAGGGATCATTTTCCAGCAAAAATCGTGTAGGTCGATTTTATTATAAAGGAGCCGTTGAACTTAATGTGTGGAATAATTTTAGGAAGCGTGTTGTCTCCTTATTCAGGGTATAACCAAGAGTTGCTCACATACTTCACGTTAAATGTAGCTCTGCTCTTGGCGGTACTTAAACGTCAACAAAATTATAACAGGAATTTTTATTCTTTTCTTCTATTATTTTACTAGCGCATAATAAAATAACAGAAGTAGGTCTAATTTTTCCCTTTTCCACTATTGATATAAAATTTATTTAAACCATGTTTTACTACATCGTAGGCAAATGGCATAACTTGTCCATAAAATTATTTTTATTGTTTTTTATAATGCGATAATTTGGAAATTATTTTTGAATGGATTTTTATTAATTTTGTAACTAGGAACATAGTATGTTAGGCATATAAGGGACACATCGAACCCTTGGTCCATTTTTTATATCGTTACCTTACTAAAGCTCAAAGAAAAAGAGTAAGAGTATAAAAATATTGGTGTTTACGAGTAAAAACGAAATATTAAATATGTACTTTACTTACCAACCAAATTAGAAACATTTAATTTACGCACTAAGCTTTAAGTTTAATAATAATTTATTTTTATTTTTAATAATTATTTATATTATACATACAGCTTTTATATACAATGTTATTGGGCTGTACTGCTTATATTGTTTGTAACGTTAAGTTTCTAAAAACATCAGAAATTCTATTTCTGATGTTTTTAGAAACTTCTATTGTTTGTTCATCATGGAGTGATCAAATCTCATGGCTGGGATTATGATTTAATGGACATCCATTTGAAGGTATGGAAGGTATATTTCAAAAATCTGTTGTTTCTGTACACAATTTTTGCTAAGTAGCTCTTACTGGATGATAAGTGACTTCACTTTTTTCTGTATCTATTCCTAATTTAGATGCGCATGAATTACTTTGGCCCAGAACATATTGGGCATTACAAATGTATGTTTTTCAAATAATTGTATCGGACACTCATCAATGCTATGATCTCAGTAAAATTGTTACAGTAAAATTCCCAGCGTGGCCTAATTGTTTAAAAAAATTCCAAATTATAGCTAATCCTTCAACAGAGATTCCTGCCTCCAGTGTGTATTTCTCTTCTTCCCAAAATTTCATTAATATATCCATTTCTTTTGCTTTTGTTTTACTAATTTCTTTTTCAAAACGCCACATTGTATTTTCTATTTAACAAATAAAACGCGCCGAAGCTGCGCATAATAATCAGGCAAAACGCCAACATATCTCTCGTGACCATTTCAATTAATCAATCAATAAAATTTTTCCCACAAACTGGCACTTGTCAAAAAAATAAATTTTGATCGATTAAAAACTACCGGTGTGAAATTTTGAAATAAAGAGTGCCCCGGAGTAGAAAAAAATACTAATAGAGGATTCATTAGAATAATGGACAAAAAATTTCTACGTAATAGTTTCTGCTTAACTTAGTTTGTTTTCTTCTTGTGATGAAAAATAAAACAAACTTTTATTTCTATAGAACTGCAGTATTGACCAAACTTGACAACAACGCGCCGTAAAAGCCAGGGAGGTCCCTATATACTATTTAATTCAGCAACAAAGTCGCCTTTGCGACCGGATACGTAACAAGGAAAGACACAACAGGTAAAATATCTCCTGCCACGGATACACGACACAATAAGACCTGGGGATTCTTGTTAAGAATAACTTACTACTTCTTAAAAATTGCCGCGGACATTTAAGGTGTCTCTAACCAATTCATTATACCTTCTTCTTTTTTACCTTTTTGCTCGACTTGTAAGAAATTTAGAGGATTTTATGTTATTTCCTCTCGTCTGTTTCTCTATATTGCGCATTAACTGACTGAATCTGTATTCTTCAATATATACGTTATTCAATTTTTTTTGAAATTGTTCAAAAAAATCATTGTTTAAATATCGTAACTAGTTATTGTCAATAATTGTTTTTAATTCTTGTTATTGTTTTCAGCTAGAAACATCGAAGTTAATGAACAAAATTTTATGTTCCTTATAGATTCCCTGCATTTTATTTTTAATAAATGAATGCCACCAAATTTCCCTCCGACTACAGCCGTAGCATAAACAACCGCAAGAAACATATTTCGCGACAGCTACAAGGAACTTTTTGCGCTTTGTTTATCTTGATAACTTTATGTTGTTTTGCAAAAATGTGCCCAAAACCTAATTATCGTGGAAACAATATTAAATATATTCACTAAAGTGTCTGTTATACAGGTTGAATATACTATTTGTTACATAGCCGCTTTGGAGATCCCCACTTTCTCATTTCTACGGAGATAGAAACATTTAATACATATTTGCAGAGCCAAACTTAGAAGCGCTCATTTTCTCATCTCCACGAAGACCGAAATATGCAACATTGTTTCATTCTTGGGAACTGAGACAGGTGGTCTGATGGCAAAAGGAGATGACATATTTTGTGACAGAAGTGTCATTAATTAAAGAATAAAACAGTCAAAATTACAAAGTAATTACAAAGTTCAGTCAGAATGGAAGTGGCAAACAAATTGGACGAAGATTTTTTGTTTTATCTAGGCTTCACGAATACTTTCTTGCGACGCCTAGCGGGAGATGTGTTCCATAAATCGAAACTCTGGCTCTATAAACTTTGCACGGAACCATGCGAGACTATCGAAAAGAAACGTAACCGCAATATGTACCTCGCTAACCTTCTAATCAACATGCAAAACAGCAAGTTGGAGGAACCTTTCACTCAATCTCCAACTCACGTGGATATTTCCAACGCCATGGAAATTTTCGGTCCAATTCCGCATACTATCGAGCCACCAGCGTGGCTCAACGACACAGAGTATAGTTTAGAAGGAGAAAGGCGGGGGGAGGAAAAAAAAGGAAGAACGTATTTCGCTACAAGGACTTTACCAAACGGACAAGGTGCATTTGCATACATAGGAATTTCGGCGGGCGGTGCAGATTGGACAACTCAGGTAGGAGCCGGAGATGTATCATTGGAGAGACGAGGTGCTTTGGAGCGACGTCTGGAACAGAAGTTTGAGGAACTTGTTCCAGCTCAGTACGAAATGGAGAAGATTCTAGCCAAGCGTCACGACCCTAGAGAACGCGAAAAAGTGTTGACGTTTTATGACGTTTTGCTTCAAAACGTGGCTGACGAATTAGACGGGAAGGGACCGCTCGAAAATGAGACAGTCGAAGGACTGCTAGATCAGCTAATAGACGATCTGAAAAATAAAGGGCAATACGAAGAATACAACGCGCTCGATGATTACGATAAAAGAATGGAGTTGCTCCAAATATTGTATTCGCGAATAAAAACTCGAAGAGATAAGGTAGCCAAGAGGGAGGAGTATCTAGATGACATCGAAGAAAAGGTGATGCCCAAGTCATTTTTTGAAACATCGACGGAACCGGAAGACGAATATCTCCTGCCCTCAGCTATGTGGCAGCAAGCTATCAATAAACTGCCCACTAAAAAACAAATCGAAAGACTAATGCAAGCCTATCCAGTTCCTGTAATTGAAAAGCTGATTCAGTACTTGTCGCAGTTTAAAGAAGAAATTGCTGAGAGAGTTCACAAAAGACACGAGAACATTGCAACGCAAATGAAGAAAGAGCTGCGCAAGGAAGGAATCAGGAAAAAGAAGGAGGCGGAGAGGGCCGAACTCGCTTACCACGACACTACAGAAATCCACAATGAGGTGAAAGAACGATACAAAAAGAAAACGGATGCCGAAGAAGCGAACAGAGAGCTGGACGAGCCCCAATTGACGGATCATTCTCGACTCTACGAGGAAATGAAAGCTGTGGTGCTGGACACGCAGAAATTGGTGGAGCAAGAAGCGGCTAAGGGCAAGTTTCTGGCATCTCAAATTAATGCGGTCAGCCTACAGAGCGAAGAATTCCACATGGTAAACAACGACATAATTACCCAAACTGAAAAAGCCAATATGAAGATACTGAGCAATATCAAGCGACTCAATGCCGCTATCAAACAACATGAGAACATGCTTGCAGATTTTAGAGCCATGGCTCAGCAAACTAAGAAGAATACCGACTCCACGATGATGATGTTGTTTTAAATTTTCTAAAACAAAAAGAAGCATTCCGTTTTTCCCAAAGTTTTAGGAAACACAGCTCTCTCGAGAACTCCCTTGCTGAGGATGGATCTGTTAATTCTATGACAACCTTGTGTAGAAAAGACGAAATGTATTTCTTAGAAATTCATTGAAATATGTCCAATGGAGTTACTATTTTCATCCACTAAATACAGAATATTGCTAACATAAGATAAAGGAACTACAGAAGAATTAAATTTAACATAAATCTCGCCCTCTTTCTATCGTACATATTTCGGGACCCACTCGGAAAACTGTTATAAAAGATTACGTCTGGATGCCCAGTAATTGATTTTCGGTAACTTCATCCTTATTAATGTGTTCGGAAAGTGATTAATTAGATTTTATTGCCGTAAAAGGCCCATGCTCAGCTAACAAATTCCCCCGGGGCAATGATTTATAAGAAAAAGCGGTAAATTAATTCCTTCCTTCCATCGCCAAATTAAAGAAAATGATATATCTGCAATCGAAGCCTGTATTAAATTGCTGGGGTTCGATTAGCCGGATTGCACTCAACGAATTTTTGTTTTATTACTTTGATTCCGGACAGAATGTTCTATGGAGTTCGGAAGTTTTCGACCTAAAGCAAACGATATCTATAAAGCATTGGAGCCGCTGCCTGGGCGCTAACTGACCTCTGATAAGCAAAAAACTATTCAATGAGTGTTTCGTGAAGACTTTTATGAATGATATTAGCTATAGTGCAATATGGAAAATATAAAGAAATATATGAAAGTGTAACTGAAAACTTTGTTTCAAAGTAAACTATTTTTGGCTGTCAGGCAAAAAATCAAGCATAAAATGAAATCAATTTTTTATGTTAATTTTGAAAAATGTTAAAGTTTGAAGACAGGAAATTATTGCTAAACAGCACGGAAACAGTCCCACGTGGTTCATCTTTACTATTTGTTGGGGCTCTTCCATTATTCATAATTGACAATTATAATTAAAACCCAATACCCTCTGGAATTTACCTGACCGCAGCTTATTAACAGGTATAAACTTATTAATTCTTGCTTAATTGTGTACCCGTTGTAAATAATTAGTCGACCTAGCCCAACTTCTCGGTTTATTAAATTCAAACTCTATAAGTGGCTGGCAGAAGCAGGGGTCGTCTATGATGAAAATTACTAACGTTCTTTAATATAGGGGTGATATTTGTTTTAAAAGTCTAATTAAAATTTATGGAAAAAGCATTGAACTCAACTATTTGGTTAAATTTCGGATTTGTTTTCCAAAGTTAACAATTGTCAGAGGAATAGAACTTTCCAAGTTGAAGAAATATGATTATAAATCTAATTAATGAAGTATACGCAATTTCGAAAACAACGAATTAAATACCATTCTACGATTTTCATGTGAACGATAATAGTATATTATGCAACAAGTGCGGTAAACGGCATTTGACTCACTAGTTTATTTGACACGAGCGGAGCGCAGCGGAGCGAGTTTTTAATAAACGAATGAGTTAAAAAGTTTACCGGACGTGCTGCATACTATACTTTTTCTACGACCGTTAGTTTTTGGGTACATTTGCGCGAAACTGTCATGACTGTCAGAATTAACAAACGTCAAAATTCAAAGCGGGGGGAAATATCTCCGAGAACATCCGATTTCTCCCAAACCTATGCGGCAAAATCCCGGAAATGTCCGAAGTAGCTCGGATTCGTGGGAAACGAAACTGACGTGGTAAAGTGACGCTTCCCGCACGCTAGATCGATGGGTGGTTAGGTATTTTACAGACGGGAGTAGAAAAAATGATTTTACACTTAAATACATTAAAAACAATATTTTTTCCTTCGCACTTTAAAATACCCAATTAATGACCGTGCACAAAGTGACACTTCAAACATATTTAAGAGCGATCGGATGTTTTCGGTAGATTTTAAATAATGATTGACGTTTGTCAGTTCGTCAATGCATTTGTTGCTGTTTCCCAAGAATATGCCCAAAAAGTAATGGTAGTAGAAAAACAACCTTATATTGTTAGAAAATAAATAAAGGTCAACGTGCGCTCAATAAATTTTCTTCGTCACTGTTCACAACTGAATAACCGATATGACTAAAAGCAGAAATCATCCCATTTAGAACTGTATTAGCTTTTCTTTACCAAATTCATTGATTTCGTAACTAAGGTAATCAATATTAGTTTAGAAAAATTTCAATTTTTTAAATTCAATTTTAAATTAGTTTTTTTTTAACTTACAAACCCTCTTCTACTGAGCCGCTGGGTATTGAAATATCATCAAACATATTTTTAGTTTGTTCTAAATTTTATTCAAAAGCCTTTGAAAGATAGCAGGGACATTACAAGCTGTTTTATTTACAAAATTTTTAGCCACTGTAATCTAGTAATAAATTGCATCATGTGAAATATAATTAATTATTTAAATTAGCGTATACGTGTAATAAGGTCCTCGATATTGTTTAAAGGATACCTACGTATCTTTTATAGTGATATTATATCACCATGGGCTAGCATAGTTAGATTTTGCTTTCCTTATAATATTTTTTTGCAAATCGTTTATTTTCGCGCAAACTCAGAACTGAGAAATCATTGAATTTCTATTTCTTTCGTAACGTCATCGTTATGTCGATGTGAATCACCTAATTACAAAACAATTCCGATAAACATTAATATACGGTATGTGCCTTCTAAATACGTAGTTAATTTACTGGATAAATGCTGCTACTAATGATTAAACAAATAAATTTAAGTTAAATATTTAATTATTAACAATTATATAGAATATACTCATCTTGCCTTCTCTGATAGCACCTAAAACCAAGCCGTAAACAAAGGGAATTTATTTATTTATTTTATATAAATCTTATTTCCCCTCTTTTGTATCAATTATCAAGTCGATATTTAGGAATATACACTAATATATGGTATGTGCCTTCTAAATACGTATTAAATTTACTGCAATCGATAAATGCTGCTAATAATGATTAAACAAATAAATTTAAGATAAATATTTAAATATTAACAATTATAAAAAATATTCTCATCTTGCGTTGTCTGATACCACCTAAAACAAGTCGTAGACAAAGGGAATTTATTTATTTTATAGAAATCTTATTTCCCCTCTTTCATATCAATTATCAAGTCGATATTTAGAAATATACACTAATATATGGTATGTGCCTTCTAAATACGTATTAAATTTACTGCAATCGATAAATGCTGCTACTAATGATTAAACAAATAAATTTAAGATAAATATTTAAATATTAACAATTATAAAAAATATTCTCATCTTGCGTTGTCTGATACCACCTAAAACAAGTCGTAGACAAAGGGAATTTATTTATTTTATAGAAATCTTATTTCTCCTCTTTCATATCAATTATCAAGTCGATATTTAGAAATATACACTAATATATGGTATGTGCCTTCTAAATACGTATTAAATTTACTGCAATCGATAAATGCTGCTAATAATGATTAAACAAATAAATTTAAGCTAAATATTTAAATATTAACAATTATAAAAAATATACTCATCTTGCGTTGTCTGATACCACCTAAAACCAAGTCGTAGACAAAGGGAATTTATTTATTTTATAGAAATCTTATTTCCCCTCTTTCGTATCAATTATCAGGTCGATATTTAGTTGCATATTTTTTTACTGTTATTTCGAACTAGACAGCAATGTAACCACAAGTACGTCGTTCGTACACAAACATTTTTTAATCCCGCACCACCTGTATCCGGTCTACGCTATTACCTCGTCGTTATTAAATTTTAATTGCTTCAAAATCGAATCCGTCTGGTCTGCTGGTTTGCTGGTAGTTACTATATTATGATGGTTAATAATTAACCTAGAGCCCGTTAAAAATTCATCAAAGACATATTTATTATACATAGTAGTCAGCAAATTCATTAAAAATGAACCGCTTGGCTTAGTTTATCAACCAATTAATGTCGAATCGATAGACTGTAAATAGATGGTGGCGGATTTGCATAAGAAAGATGAATGAGGTGATTCTTTGCGGAGACAAGTTCGAATAGTATGCAGCGTTTTATACAAGGTGACCCGAAAGGTACTTAGTGTTCAAAATTCTAAGGTGCATAACTGGACTGAAATTACTATTAGTGGTTCGACATATCATTCTTAAATACGTGTAAGTCAAAAATTACTTCTACTGCGAAAAGGTGCGTTACTTGGAAATACAACAGTACTTAATATTCGCATTGAAATATCATCGAAATTGGGTTAAAATTATTTCTTACCTATTGTGTGGTTTTCTCACTAAGGCAACGTCGCCGTTTCTATCTTATACTATTGAAATTCTTATCTACGAAGATAAAGATTTCTCTCTTGTTTAATAATTAATTTTTGTTTATGAATTAATGTTTTTGTAGTGAAATTTATACCTACAGTTCCAATGTAATCCCTCATCACTGTGACGTTTGTGAGTCCAATAGTGCATCAGATGGACTAGTAAAGCAAAAAAATAAATTAAAAAAAAAATAATTCTATTCATTTTCACAAGGACATGTGATAAATTTGAAATTTGGCAATGGTTTTATCCGAAGTTTAAATCACTGTAGTATTTTAGTGTTAGTTAGAAATTTCAGAAGAATGTATTTTAAAACATTTCTTTTGTATTTCGAGTTAGTGGATTTTTAGGTGATAGTAAGAAAAACACTAAACAAAGAATAACGAATGAAAATGTTATTTTAATAAATATTGCTTCGGTTTGAGTATCAATGCATTTAACAAACCATTTACGGGTTGATAAGTTATGTAAAAGATTGCAATTAAAAAGTTCTAGAGATTGTTCCTGTATATCCCTGTCAAGTAAAACAATTAAGAGCATTTGATAGCACATAGCATTTGATGTTTTGTATTCTTCATAAGAAAAGCTTTTTTTTATTCCAGAGCTGATCATACTTTTTCTTTTCTTTCAATTGTTTAGTTAAAACATAAAAGTATTACTTCATTCAATTTTTTTTTTGGATAAAGTTGTTTATTATTATTTTAATAAGCCATCTATAACAGTTATTTTGGTGTATTTTTTTAAACTGCGAGATCTTTCATAAAAATTCGGGGAAGTTTGAAGTTGAAGAATATGATAGAAGAATTTGATAGCAATATCTCAGACATCTGAGAAATTTTCAAAAACTGTTGCACAAGTTCCCCTGTATATTGAGCCTGTAAATGTGTAAGGCGTTGAAGGAATGTTGTGGGTATTAGTATCAGTTAATAGCATTTTCAACGTTTGTTCTAAATTCCACGCCGATTGGTGAAAAATCAATAAATCAATACTAAACGTTGCGAAATTGTCGCTATTACAAGATTTTTCAAAAATTTCATTTTATTGCTCTTTGAAATTTAACGGATCACTATTAGATTAAAAGGATAGAATATCTACCAGTTACTATCTATTTTAATTTCTAATGTTATTCTGTGAAACAAGTTTCATATTTAATCTTATAAGATATACTTCACACCAGAAAAATACCCAAACAAATACAAACGGCAACATGTTCAGCCAATCGACCTACCATTTTAACTACTATTTTTGAAAACAAACTGTACATTCATGCAGTGCAATATTCTTTCAAAGTACAAATGGGACTTCATCACGATGTCAAATTGATAAAGCGGTACTAAGTTTAGGCGAGAAATACTTTTGGAAAAATCTCAAGCCATTTATACTGAAACCCAATCAAAATCCACCGCCATTTCCCATTTCGTCGTAAGGAAAAATTATTAATCTTTTGAAAAGTTTTCGAGACACGATTCGAGA